CTTGGTGCACCCACAATCGCTCGCGCGGCTGCATTCTGGACTAATTGGAGTCTTCGAACACTCTTCAAGGGCAGCCCCATGTAGAGCGCTTTTTCTCCTCCTCCTCCTCCCACAGAACTTCTTCCCCTCTTAATTCTCTTCTCTTTGTTGGGTAGGGTTCTGAAGGCCCTCAGGGATACTGGCATCCCTGTTCCAAAAGTCCTGGCCTTATGCGAAGATTCAAGGTGAGTTGTGGGCCCAATTATGCCTGGGATGGTATTTTGAGGGGGCCAAAAACATCCTGATCCCCTACTAACATCCCGACGTGGCTCTAGTGTCATCGGGACCCCCTTCTACCTGATGGAGTACAGCCCCGGCCGGATCTTCAAGGACCCTTCTCTTCCAGAGCTGGAGCCCCACCAGCGGAAGGAGGTTTACAGGGCCATGAACGGCATCCTCTGTCAAATCCACAGCGTGGGCATCAAAGCTGTTGGCCTGGAGGGTTACGGGAAACACGGTAGGTCAAGCGCCTCTCCGCTGCTCCCTGGCAGGAACTCTCGTCTTTGGGGTTCCGCTAAAATGAGTGGCGGAAAGGAAGCTTCAGCTTGGCGCAGGGACGTTTCTGGAAGAAAGAGCCCTTCAGGTGATGAGAGAGGAAAATTAAACTCGGAAACGTTTTTTTGTTCTTCTGAGATTGTAAACCTGCGCCCGTTTAAAACGGATTTTTCCAGGATTTTTTTTTACTTAACGGAGATCTTAATACTGTAGGCAATTACGTCCAGCGGCAGATCCAGACCTGGGGCAAGCAGTACCGAGCCACGGAGACTCACACAATCCCAGCCATGGAGAGGCTCTTCAAATGGTTCCCCTCCCACCTTCCAGCCAGCGAGCAGCTGTCGGTTGTTCATGGAGATTTCAGGTACTGGCTCACCTGTCCTGTTTCTACCGGTATTACAGAAGCCTTCTTAGAAGCAGGACAGGGGGGGGGGGGAGAAATATGTAGGTATGTATGTATGTATGTATGTATGTATGTATGTATGTATGTATGTATGTATGTATGTATACTGTATTTTTCAGAGTATAAGATGCACCTTTTCCCCCCCCAAACAAAGGGAGAAAATCTGGCTGTGTCTTATACACGGAATACAGCATTTCTGGCCTCCCGAAACCCTGCTCCCTTCACAAAAATGGACATGCAGAGGGTTTGGGAGGCCTAAGGGCTGGGGTGGCAAAAATGAGTGAAAAAACTGCCATTTTTGCCCCCCTCCCCAGCTCCCAGGAGCGCTCTACAAGCCTTCCAAAGCTCTGCATGCCCCCCCCCTCTTTTTTTCTTTTTCTTTTTTGCAAATAATGTGGCATGCAGAGGGTTTGGGAGGCCTGCAAAGTGCAAAAACTTCTTTTACCTGTTCAAAATCATGGTGTGACTTATACTCTGGTGTGTCTTATAGTCCAAAAAATACTATATATATATATCTTGTGACGAGCCGANCCCAGAATCCCCCAGCCAGCACAGCTGGCTGGGGGATTCTGGGAGTTGAAGTCCACAGGACTTAAAGTCGTCAAGGTTGAGAAACACTGCTCTAGATATAAATATCCAGCCCCACTTTTTTGCCATTTCTTCCCAGCTGAGATATTTGCAGATATGGGTTCCTTCGTGCATGGAAACTCTTGTTTTAAACACGGGGTTCTTCTAAGCCTCTTTGCTGCTTCAGCTCCCCCATTCCTTCCTACTGCTCAGGTCGATGAGGCGGACTCAGCGGTTGAAGAGTTAGAGGCCTACCTCGGTTTCCCCTTGCGCTGCGTGGTTCCTTATGCCTCTTCCGTGAGGCCGGCCATGGAAATCCCCACAGCGCCTCTTCAAGAGTATCTTGGAAGCCTCTTGGGGGCCCAAGCGAAAGGTACAGGAGTTGACGTTTCCATTTTGCATGGAAAGGGGTGGGTGGGCAGTTGTTGTCTTTATCTGGAGTATTCGGGGGGTGCTCCTCTTAGCAGGCCAGGCGACCAGGGAACCTTAATGGAAGGAGGGTGCTGATTAGAGCCGGACGTCTTCTGCAGACTCTCTCCACCCGGCGGGGTTGCAGAGATAGAATGGAGGGAGCCCCGAATTCTGTGCAGGGTCCCCCGGGGCCTCCTGTGCTCTTCCTGACCCTCCTTCTTTTGCCGCGACTCTGCAGGTTCTCTGGAGCTGCGCCAGTTCAGTCACGGGCAGTCCAACCCGACTTACTACGTCAGGTTTGGGGACCATCGGTTGGTTCTAAGGAAGAAGCCGCCAGGGAAGCTTTTGCCCTCCGCTCACGCGGTAGAGAGAGAATACAGGTAAAAAAATGTAGGGATCAATAGACACCCCGTTTGCCCATTATGTGGAAATGCTAACAAGCAAAGCTCCCAGCCTTCTTTGTTGCGGATGTTAGTTGGCAGCAAGAGATATCGAAACATCTGAAGGGCACCACATCTATTATTATGATTATTTCTTCTTCTTTTATTTATTTATTATTTGTTTATTTGTTTGTTTATTTATTTATTTATTTATTTGTCTTGTATGCCGCCCACTCCCGGAGGACTCCGGGCGGCTCACAAAAGACAAGGGAAAGGGGNGAGTTGTAAGCCGCCCTGAGTCCCCCCCAGGGAAAAGGGCGGCATATAAATAAACTCTCAAATCTCTCAAAAAATCAAATCACCTTCTGGAGCAGCAGGAGGGAAAAGTCGTTTTGAAACCGAAAACTGTTTCAGTGGCTGAGCATCAGCTCAGACTAATTCCTGAAGCTTCCCTGGTGATGGTTTTTACTCCTGTGCTGCTGAATTGCACCACACGCGACATTATCCTTAAGATCTTTTTGTGTCCCGAGAGAGGAACCCGGACTTCCTCAACCGGACTGCCTGCCTTTCTTTAGATTGGGAGATTCGGAATCGCGTCCCCGCCGGCACCATCAAAGAGGCCTTACGATCCGGGGGTGAGGACAGGCCCTGGATGCGATTCATGAGAGGCGAGCTGAAGTGGGCTAAATTTCTGCACGAGTTCGGACAACAGTGCTCCAGCATTGTAAGCCAGTTTTTCCCCCTTTGATTCCTGTGGGGTGAGTAAGGGAGAAGGGGAGCCTTAAGCTGAATCTACGGGGAAGCACTTTGAGAGAGTCCCATGGAAAAAAACCAATCACTGTGTTGGGAGTATAAAACTCTTCACGGCTACCAGGCCACCTCAGAAATTAGGGTAGTTTTCTTCTGAATTTATAAACTATCGATGTTTACTTTTTTGCTGGAAAAAAACCCACCCTGTTTCTACATTTCTTTTTCCCTCCCCAGGCAAATGCTGATGTTCCAGTGGACTCTTTCCTTTTTGAATTAACCAGAATAGAAATGTCAGACCAGCTCCCTGCTATGACGGAGGCCGTAAAGTGCATCAGAGGCAGCGGTCTCAAGACGGCTGTTTTGACCAACAACTTTTATCTGGAAAATGGAGAGAGTTTTCTCCCTCTAGACAGAAAGCAATTTGATGTGGTAAGTTCAGAAACAGAAACTCCCGTTCCTTGGGGCTGTTACTTCATTACGATGGCTGTAGTTTAATAATTATGCTTGCCTAAACTTGCATAAGAGTACGCAGGGCTGGTGAAGGAAAACGAATTATATTTTTCTCTACCTAGCTCCCATAATGGAATAACTTAGAAGGACGACTCCGTATTTTGGCTGTTTGAACCCCCTCAGAGCTCCTTGTTCAAAAGATGAGGATCTAACTGCCTTTACTAAAAAATAATCTTTTAAAAAAAGATGAATGGGGAGCATCTGGCTAGCCACATTCCTTACTTGATGGAATCAGCTGCATTAAAAAGTACATTCTGTTGTTGCTTGGTTAATATCTTTAACGCCATAAATCAAACCTGGAAGGAAGAACATATCAACCCTAAACCCTCACGTGAAACATAAGACGCCATTGGCTTTTCCTGTTTTATCTTTATTTCATTTCCGAATGCCCTTCCCCACCCCCTCCCTCCCTGATTTGTCTCCCAGATTGTGGAATCGTGTCGGGAAGGGGTGTGCAAGCCCGACCCTCAGATCTACCAGCTGTGCTTGGAGCGCCTGGGTGTCCTGGCCAAGGAGTCCATCTTTCTGGACGACGTCGGGCAGAACCTCAAAGCTGCCACCCAACTTGGCATTAAGACCCTGAAGGTGAAAAAGTGGAGCAGGAAGGAAGACACTTTTCAAACGTGCCTTCCCAGAGCTGAGCCAACTTCATTCCGTTAAGACTTTTTTCGAAGCTATTCTCTAGATCAGCGTTTCTCAACCTTGGCGACTTTAAGNTGTTGTATTTGAGCTGATAAATAAATAAAGGGAGACTAGTATAGATCTATTTCAAGCTATTTAGCTCTCATCAGCTAGCCATACCCTTACTGGGAATATATATAGTACTGTAGTATATATATATATATAACACATTTCGGAATGCAAACCCCCTTCCAGCCTGGGGAACAAACCTGCCTTTGGTTCTCAGCTGATGCAGGAGCTTTAATTATCTCTGCTGAATGGGCACCAATTGGAAAATGGGGAGGAGGGAACAGTGTCCTTATCCCCCCCCCCCAGGACAATTGGCTCTGCAGTTCATTAAAATTAGGGAGACCCTGGAGCTCAGCCCCCAGCAGCCCCCAGAAACCTCCAAACCAGAAAAAAAAAAGACTTCATTTAGTTTTCTTAAGAAGAAGAAGGAGGAAACTTCCTGCCAAGCCCGACCTGTTTCGGGACCCCTCCCCAACTCAGAGGACTGTTCCGTTTGCAGCCTCCGCCTGCTGGGTTGGGGTTGCAGTTCCAACGTGTGACCGACGAGGCTTCTGTGGGGTGGCGGCTCTTCCCTTTGTAGGCTGGACAATCTTATCTTCCACCCTGAGAAACTGGAAGTGGTGGCTGTCCTTGACTGGGAGCTCTCCACCTTGGGGGACCCGCTCTGCGACGTGGCCTATAATTGCCTGCCGTATTTCCTGCCTTCGGATTGCAGTATCGTAAAAGGTGCCAAGCGTCCGGGGTGGGTGGAGGGGGTGGTAAACAGAGGTGTCGCAATTAAACAGCACAAATGCCAGAGTGGGAAAGGACCTTAGAGGTCTTCTAGTCCAACCCCTGCTCAGGCAGGAGACTCCGTGCCATTCCAGGCGAGCGGCCGGCCAGTCTCTGGAGCTGACAGGGAAGAAGGGCCTCTTTGGGGGGGGGACCACGAGGGCCTTTACCCCATGAGTTGGTGGGATGCTGGAGACTCTCCTGCACCAGCTGGCTTAGAAGACCCGGATTGGCAGCTCAGTCAGGTGGGAAGAGGTGGATTTCCTACCGCGGGTATTCGTAGAGCAGTGTTTCTCAACCTTGGCCACTTGAAGATGTCCGGACTTCAACTCCCAGAATTCCCCAGCAGTGGTTAGGACAGT